GGAGCCACTCTGAGAGCAGGAGGAGCAGGAGGACTTGCGGGTGCTGGGCTGCCACATGGGAGGCAGGCCAGCTCCTGGAGTGTCCATCAGGTCCTGGGGCACTATAAGAGGACAGAGAAATGAGCATCAGCTACGGTCTGGCACTGCCCGGGCATCGGGTGAGCCACAGGAGGTCAACAGAGAGTTCTGATTAGCAAAGGCAGCATCCCACACTCCTCCCAAGGAGATTCCAGCAACCAGGTAGGACCCACACCAGGTAATCACAGCACCAGCACTGGTGAGCTCAGGAGAAAGGAAAGGAAACACAGAGCATTAATGAGAGAGTGTGAAACATCTGCTAATTAACTACAGAGCCTCCAGCAAGCTAATCTTAAACTGCTGAGTGCCAACCAGGGCAGAAAACAAACACCCAACCCAGAGAGACTCGAGAGGAGGGGCCACAACAGACCATCACACACATGAGAATAAACATGATCAAAATCAACCATTGTCCCAGGAAGAGTGGATCACTGGAAGGGAAAAGCCCCCATCTCTCAAAGGATCCCATCCATGATTCAGGGAAAGACAAGAGCATCCAAACCACAAAACAGGAGATAAAGATTTTGACAAAGAAATTTAGAGGGACAACAGGAGGAAGCTCTTCATGTTGTCACTTGCTAAATCCCTGCTTCAACTCAGAGGTGCTATTGCAATGGCCTTGGATCCTGCTCAGGTGCCACCTCACACACCATCCAGATGCAGGGGGAGCGGGCAGCCCTGAGAGCCCATGTGGAGCAGCTCAGCTGCTGGCCTGGCCTGGGACAGCCCCTGCCCATCGGTCCTGGGCCTCCCTAGGAAAAAGCTGTCATGATGAAGGTGAACTGTACAGAAAAAGATTAATGAAGAACAATCCTAGTTTCTCCTCACTGGAAATTAAATCCCTTCCAGCTGGGAGAGGGCTTCCTCAGTCACCCTCGGTCTCACTGACTCTCTCTGCTTGTGACAGTGAATAACTGATGCTGGCAAGAAAAAAGTTGAACTATTCCTATTTCCCTCCCACTGAGCAGGTGCTGATGGGTCAATGACGGTCAGCAGTGACAGGGGACATCTCTGCAGGAATTGCCAAGTGACAACACAGGTGAGCAGCAGTACCAGACAAATGACAGCCACGTTACACTGACACCGAGAGGCCCGCAGAGCAGCAAGGGGAGGCCGGGACATGATGGGGGGACTTGGAAACCATTTAGGGATCACCACTGTCTTGCTTGCAGCTGGGGTCCTCGTGATCTTCCCTCTCACAGCAGTGATGGAGATCACAGACGCAAGGAATGGATGAAAATTACCATTAATGGTAACTAGAGACACAGAGAGAGGACAAGGGCACAAATGAAAGGGGAAAAAAGGAAGAATCTGTGGAGAAGAAAGAACAGATGCAGTTCCACCCCCCTCTGAGAAAGTCCACAGGAACCACAGAGACTTTGATGATGCCAGCTGAGGAGATTGCAGCAATTCATTCTACAGAAAATTTGGCCCCCAGCATGGAATTTTAAGGGGTAGATTAAAAGGAAGCTAGAGAAAAGAGCATTTCTATCTGCTATTTTAGCCTCAATCATATTTTTATCTGACTCACTGAACTGTGTTAGTCAGCTAAAGGCAGGGAGAACAGAGTATTATTTTAACTGATGTTATGGAGGGGTCACAGGAGATGTGATTGCCCCCTCCTAGCCTCAGAAATACAGGAACAAGTTTTTGATCAAATTTCATATCTTTTTAAAAAGCACTCCACAAGTCTTCTATTACACTCTTGTTTCTCCCCCTTATAAAGTCATCTACAATGTTCCCAGACATCAAAAAATTGTTCTTAGTATCCCACAGAAGAGTGAGAACAAACATACAGTCACTTCAGCCAAGCACCATGTTCAGATCATTCACAGCCAGGCATTAGGAGAGATTTCTGGTTGGTGACTCTAGCAGCATCTTCTCCCTTGCTCTGTGAGCCAAGTGAAGACACGTGGGTGAAGCCTGGCAGTACAGAGAAGGTGCTGTAACCTCTCTGTGCTGCAGAAGTAATGCTGAAGAAACACAGTCTGATTTAATGCAGCACTTGCCAAGTTGGCCTGGTGATATGAAGAGAAGAATCAGCCCTGGAGGCTTGTGATGGTGAAAAAGGACCCCTAAGGAACACAACCAAAGTGAACTGTACCACTGCAATGATGTGTGAGACTTTTTGTTTCTAACCATTAAGGCAGTCGTGGCCTGTTGTGCAGCTGCACAAACAAAGGACTTGGTAGCAAGTAGAAGATTAGAACAAAAAAATAAAACCCCAACCCATCCATGATGTTGAATAAAAGGCAGTAGTGGTACAAGCAAAGCCGGTTTCTCTGGAACCACGTCCTGGTGAATTGCCAGGTGCCTGTCAGGGCTGTGTCCCCAGCTGCTCAAACACCCCGTGATAACCCATCTCAAACACTCTCTGCCAGTGCACTCACCAAACTCAGCCTGTGTCCCCGGGTAGATTATCCTGAAAACGTAATCTGTGGCTTCATCATCTTCCTTGTCCGACGCAGACTCAGAGGAGCCCTGGGGACTTCGCTTCCTCAGCCTGGGAAACACCTTCCCCTGGGTGAACAAAACCTGCTCTTCACAAGCCGCCCCACGCCCGCCAGCGCTGCCTCGCTTGCCAAACTCCTGCTCAACAAGAACATGTGCTTCATCAGCCCAGACGATGGGCTGGAGCAGCCTCTGGATTGAGCTTTCAACTACACGGTGACTACAGGACCCTGTTTGTGCACAGGGTGGGTATAACCCATGGAGCACAGTCAGGTCCGTGAGAACCAAACCGACCACGCCTCGTGGCCAGCACCCCCACACCACCTCCCTTCTCATTTGCCCAGAAGGGTCTGTTAAGCTGGTCAAGGCCACGAGCTACACCAAACTGCCATATTTCAAGCCCACCTTCCTTGTTTTGAGAGGGGGATTGCTTAAAATACAGCAGAGGGTCCTCCCCACCAGCTCTGCTCTGAGACACTCCACGAGGGAACCCCAGCGAGAACCCGCAGCGCCGTGGGCTCACCAACGAGCCCATTTTCAGGGTGCCTACCTTTCCCCGCTGCGACCAGAGGGGTGGATCCAGCTGCCCATGGGGCAGAAGGCCGTTCTCCAGGCAGGACAGGAACTGAAGTAAGTGCCCTCCTCTGGGGAACCGCAGCGGGGGCCTCTGAATCCCATCCTGGCTCACCAAGACAACTGTGCCACCGCTGTCTACTATTAGCAACAGTGACAACAGAGAGAAGACACACACATGAACGAGGGAAATATTACCAGCCAAAAATGCAGAGGGAACAGGCCAGAAAGCTCAGGGAATCGACCTTCTAGTATGGAATAGAAATCATTTCTTCCTTGTTTGGGTTCTCCCCTAAGTGCATTACAAGCCTGGGGCCCTGAAGAAGGCTTGTCTGGGAGATGGCACCCTGGAAAACCACAGAGCATTGCTCTGCAGGGAGCACTCCCCAGCCAAGCACCGCAGCCAGGAGCTGGTTTAAAGGTTTTCTGAGAAGCATTTACAGAGCAGTGACCACCCAGAGCTCTGGACATCTGCCCTGGAGCTGAATCAAAACATTCCCATGTGGGCAGACCCCGAAAATCTAATGAAGCAAATGTCCAGGTGGTAACACCCCCTAGCAGCCCCCCACTCTGGCCTTACCTTGCTGGTGACAGTGCAAATAGACAATCTCCTCCAGGCGAATTGTCATGGCATAGTCCCAGTACACGCTGGAACAGAGAACGAGAGGAAATCATGAGCTGCAGGGATGAAAGAAGCTCTGCTGCTGTTCCCATCAGCCCCAGGTCCTGCCTCCAGCTATCCTGGTGCCAGGGGAAGCTACAGAAAGGACCAGATCCCAGCAGCAGTGCGACTGCCACAGAGCCAGCCTGAGTCAGTGACAACATCCCTCCAGAACCAGTAACTGTCCCTGCCACTACAGCTCAATCAGGGCAAGTCCAGTCCCACCTGCCCCAGGCTGGTTCTCAACCCTCTCGTTGTTCCCAGACACAGACAATGTGCCCATGGATCCTGGCAAGTGCAGGGAGGGATGTGGAGCCCTGCAGAGCCGAGCACTCTCCCCTGGGCACCCCAGAAAGGACTCCTCACCCTGCCATGGTGCTGGAGAACCCCACGAACCTGGTATGAGCAGCCTGGGAGCCCCAAGGGAACATGCAGGGCAGTCCGAGCCTGGGCTGCTGCTCTGCTGAGCTCCTGTCCCCAAGGGAGGAGGAAATAAACCTTCACAATTTCTGTGTTTTTTCAAAGCTGAAAATAGATTTGGTCTCAGCTGCTTCTGTTTGAGAACTGCACTCCCTCAGCACAGGCACCTCCAGGTGACTGAGCAAATCTAGAAAATGCTGGAGAGCTGCAGGTCGCCAAGCAGGACAGAGGGCCAGAGAGATGCCAGGAGGAAGCTGGGGAAGGGGATCTCACCAGGAGACACATGGCCTCACACAGGGTTTCACTGCTGTGGAGAGCCTAGCAAGAACCCTTCTCTCTGAGGGTGTCAGTGTTTAATAACATCCTACTTCTTTGCAAGAAAGCAAATTTCCAGATTCTGAGCAGCCTTATCTGCCACTTGGCAAAAACAGTGCTTAAAATAAACGGCTCATGAAGGCAGGGAGGGATGGGAAGGGTGGGTACGAGTCACTCCTTGTACATTCATACTTACTTTGCCATCTGACTCCTCTCTTCCTTGGTCACGTCTTGACACTGGGAAGTTTTAGAGCTTAGGCTGATGCCCAAGTCAAGAACTCAGAAAAGTAGTGTAGAGATGAAAATAGCATTTTAAGGGGAGGGTACCAGGCATAACGGAACGGCCCAGGGGCCAAGAAGAAAGGGGAGATGGAAAGAACACAGGTAAACAAAACCCAAAAAACTACAATTGAGAATAAACAAAACTGAGAACAAGTTTTGCTGAAGATGACCTTGACCTTAGGTCAAAGAATCAGTGTCCTAAACACTCCAGCTTTCCTGGAGCGTTTGCTGGTGGAAAGGGATTTTTTCTCAGGGAAATTGGGACCTGCCATGATTTTGCAGTTTGATAGAAGGATTGCAGCTAGCAAGAGAACTGCCAGCAGTCCACAGACAATCCCAGGCAAAGGGCCGTGGCAATACACCCTGCCGAGCAAACTAAGTAGACCTCAGGTCCCCTGGAGGAACAAGCTCCAGGGACTCTGTTAAATCCAAAGGACTTTGAATACCTGCACATCAGACCAGCTGCAGACAGCACCAAAACAGCACTACAAAATGGCACAGGCTGTGTTACAGAGGCACTGTTATCTGGGAACTGCTCACATCCCCTCTCTCTGCAGAAACTCCTCCCCTGTTGATGAGCTCCTCAGCTCCCCAGATTAAAATAACCACAATAAACCCAAAAGCACCGTGTAGTGTGTAGAGAGGGCATTCTCCTGAGGAAATCCCTGAGGGCAATAAATGAAACCACTTTGTGTCTTTCAGGACAAGCACTCCCCAGTTCCCTTGCTGAACACTCCCCAGCAGAGATAGGCAATACCATAACATCTCACACCATCCTGCAGCCCATCTCCCACCACCTCAGGCCTCCTTCCCCATCCCTTCTCCTGCTACAGACCCAAGGATGATTGTTTTCCTCTGCAGTCAGTAGGAAAACTCACTGATGGCCTTGGACAGCAGATCTAAACTCTCTACCTGGGGAACACTTGCCTCCCCTCTGCCCCGTGCTATGGTGAACTGGGGGCCAGTCACCTCTTCTCGTAGTCCAGATCCCCCACGGAGCCATTCATCAGCTGGTTGGGAGTCCACTTCAGTGCCATGATGTCGGCAGTCTGGTGAAGGGACAGATATCCCGGGATTGCCTCCATGTCATCTCGCTTGAGAAGAGAAACACAGGGAGAGAGCAAGCTGGTGACAGCAGGCTGGACAACACCAGAAGCATGAAGCACAATCTCAGGCTACCCTGGGCTGAGCCATGGCCTGGAGCACAGTCCTGGACTGTCACACAGCTCTGCCTGCTGCCCCCGAGCCCACCAACAGTGAGAACCCACAATGGTCCCATAAAATCTCCCAGAAGAGAGAACAGGACACCACCAACTTGGAAAAGGGCTGAGAGCAGGTGCCCAGCTGAGGCAAAATTAAGAGCTCCACCTAAGGAGTTTGCAGTTTATTTATTTGACACCAGTAAGCAGAAAGGGACAGGAGGAACATTCTGTGGCCTCTGGTGAAGAGGAGCCTGTTTCCACTCAGACAGAAGCAGAGCTCTTCCATTCCACGGGGAGGATCCATATCACCAGGACACAGTTCAGTCACTGCCCTTCCAGGTCAAAAAAGAGCCTGTGATTTTTTCCATCAAAGAGCAACTTGGGACAGAATTACCTGGGGGGAGCAGAGCAGCATTTTAAAGGCTAGATGCCCCAGCAGGTACTTACTGGCTGCACCAGGACGTTGTTCTTGCCGTAGAGGAGCGTGGCTCGGGAATTCTGGTGCAAGGACTCCACGTAGTCCCTGGCAGACAGCGATGGCCGGTCATCCATGCTGCCACTCGAATGCCTTTTCTGAATCTGGAAGAGATCCACCTAAAAATGTGAGGTAAGCACAGACACCTCTTGCTTTTAAAAAGCTGCTCTTGAAAGCTCATTCCCTCTTCACTTATACACTTAAAAGACACTGCTAGAAATCTTTCCCTCTGTGTCCTCCAAGAGGATTTGTGGCTCTGGCCAAGCTCGATTCTGTACTTAGAGAAGCCCCAGGAGTGTGCTTTGTTTGCATTAACCAGAGCAGACTTCATCTGCCTTTGCTTTTCATTCACACATGATGTTCTCAAAGGGCAGAGCCCCCGTGATGCAGTGCTGCGTTGGTCCAGCATGCCCGCAGCCTCCACGGCCCCTGTTCCCAGCACTTCTGACTTGAAGGCTTCAAGTAACTGCACTTTTCTACCTTCTCTCAGAGGGCTTCACAGCCCTTTTCAACCTGAGAGCCTCCAGCCGTGGCGAGCGCTGCCTGTGCACCCCGGGAGGGGCACTGTGAAGGGCCATCCCTCCCACCCCAGCCGTCCCCACTCACGCAGAGCGCCGGGCGCTTGGTGGGCGAGTCCTGGCGACAGTGTGAGCTGTGGATCCGGTGCCTCTGAACCAGCTCATCAGCTGAGGGGTCTGTCCAGAAGTGGTCAGCGGTCTTCATCTTCGTGTACTCCAGTGCACAGGGCCCCACTGCACAGAGAAGAAAATCACAAACATAAGGAAGTCATTGGTTTTGTTCTGATGACTGTGGGCACCTCTTGGACCCCCAAAGCCCAGCATCTCCCAAGTAACTAGTGATGGAACAAGAGAAAATGGCCTCAAGTTGTGTCAAGGGAGGCTCAGATTGGATATCAGGAAAAATTCTTTCATTGAAAGGATTCTCAGGCATTGGGAACCTAGGGAAGTGGTGGAGTACCCATCTCTGGAGGGATTTAAAAGCTGGGTAGATGGGGTGCTGAGAGATCTGGTTTAGCAGTGGACAGGTATGGTTGGACTTGATGATCTCAAAGGTCTTTTCCAACCAAACGATTCTATAATCTCAGAGCAGAGGCAGTGGGACAGCATGCAGCAAGCACAAGGCTCAGCACACACTGCTGCATCGTGTAACAGCAGCAGAGAATTGAGAGGGGACAGCCAGCCCGGGCAATAACCCACTGCCAGGCCGGTCACATCCACGCCGAGCCAGCACCACGCTGCTTCCCCAGCCCTGCTGACATCAGCATCACTGCAGCCTGGGCATGAAAAGGGAACCCTCAAGCTCAGACCTTGCACCTCCATCTCTATGCACTGCTCACCACGGGGTCTTCCTATGTGCTCCACAGGTCCACCTGTGCAGGGCTATTCTGTTTTCTGAAGTTCTTACTAGAAAACAACTGCATTTCACATCCCAGATCACAGAACTGGGAACACAGGCTTGGAAAGCAAGCTGTCAAAGTAGGGTGAGAGGAAAGTGTTACCCAATAAAGATGCAAGAATTGGCCCATCCACAGGATCCATCAGGAGAGCTTCTTTCTCATAGTATTTGCTAGAAGAAATAAGAGAGCAGAATGCTGTAGCATTTCAGCCCCCTGGGACTGCACAATGATAAACACAGTGGTTTTAATTAAATCACTGCAATGTCCCTCTCCTTCTCTGCCACTCCTTGATGGTGAGAGGGCAAGAAGCCCTTAATAGACTTTCTGCTAGTGGTGAAATTCCTGGGCAATAGGAATTCCTACTCTATTCCCTCCTGCAGCACACTGCAAGCATCACCATCTCCTAACAAAACATCCCCAGGACTGGAGATGACCCCTCCCCAGCACAGGACACCTCAGCAAGCAGTTTTCAGAAGACAAGGACAATGCACTCCCCAAAAACCCAGCTGTCAGCACAACAAGCGTGGCCTGACTTTATTTCAGGGACTGTATGGTGGCCACCAGCAGCAGGGAATCAGCCAGAGACCCTGTGCTGGGCACAGAACAACACAACTGGTCTGTCCCACCCAGGGATTTCTCTGTCCCACTTGGACACAGCTCAGCCAGCAACACCTCCAGGACCATCAGAAGGGGCAGATGCTGGTAGTGAGTTGGGATGAGCAACTGGTTGGCCTGTGCCAGCACTCACCTGCTGTTTTCTACCAAGTAATGCACGATTTTATCCAAGACCTTTTCAAAGAGGGCTGTGCGGATCCAGAGATGCTTGATGGCTTGAGGAGACAGGTTGGGCAGCTTTGGCATCTTGCGCACGTTCTCTGGGATGCCCTGGACTTGATTTCGGCTTTAGAGACACAAGGCAAAAGACAACATCAGTTGGCTCATCACCGAGTTAGTTCCAGTTGGCTCATCACTGAGCACCACAGGAGCCCAGGGCGCTCATGGTACCTCCTGGGGCACGAGGCTGGGTTCCAGTGGTGCTGACTGTGGTGCCTGGGGGATGCCCAGGGAACCACATGGGGACAGGGCTCTGGAGATTGCTCCCTTCATCTGTTCCACCCCATGCTCCAGAAGGCTCACATCTGCACTTGAAAAGTGACTTCAGGAAATTTGTTTCCTGCATCCTAGAACAAGCCTCTTCCTCAGCAGAGTCCTCCAACCCACACACCTTTTCCACTGGTGCCTGAGGACAGCAGTTCACAAGCAAAGCAGCTTATCTCAGGACAACATAAAGATTCCTGCCCCCAAGAAGCTGCTCCATCCATCTCCCTGGTTCCTGTCCAAGGATGAGTAAGCCACTCTCAAAGAGAAGTTGAATTACTGCAGGTTCAAGCCCTGCACATTGAGGCAGATGAAATTCGGTTCCAGTTGGCTTAGTGCACTGGTCCATAAACTGTAACACTTGAGGAGCAAACATGCTTAGCTGTCCCTGAAGCATGACACAAGGGGCAGAGGAAGTAAGACCTTGTCCGTCCCACCTTAAACCACAACTCACAATCTCCTAGAAAAGCAACCAGTTCAGTCAAGATATCAAAAGCCCAGGACAGGACTCGGCTCCACTGGAAGAGCAATTCCTCCTGCAGAGCCTCAAGTTGGGCACTGTGATCCCTGGCCATGCCCAGACTACAGACCCACACCAAGACACGAGTGACCTGTGGGGTGACAGCAATGCTGGTGCCTTACGCATTCTCAATGAGCTGCTCCAGGTCTTGCACCTTCTTGCAAAGCTCCTCTGCCAGAGGAAAGCTCTTTCCCACCTTCATGAACAGAGCTGCTATCTTGTTGCTGCGCAGGAATCCTGCCGCCCTCCGCTTCAAGCCGTACAAGACACAGGCTTCCACGGCAGCTGCAACAGAGCAAGGTCGTTACTGAAGCAGCAGAGCTCAGAGCTCACGTCACAACAGCTGGTCTCCTGCTGCATCCATGACCCTACTCCACAGCAGAAATGTTTCCCAAGAGGAAACCGGTGCCATGTTCTATTCCTGCCTAAGCAGAGAGGAGATTAGGGAACCCAGATGTCACTTGACCCAAAGCAGCAGACACTGGTGCAGCTTTTCTGCCTGCAGAGCCATCAGCTCTGCTGACTATTTTCCAAAACAGTTTTCCAAAAACAGAAAAAGAAAAAAAATGAGGTTGGTGATGTCTGTTAGAAGTTCAGCTAATCTGAACAAAAGGGTCAGCCTGATGGGAGGGAACAGGAACCATGTGTGTGCCAAGACGTACACACACCAAAGGAGAGCTAACTTGTGCCTGCTAAAGTAGATCCAGAGTCTCCCTAAAATCCCCTGAGAGGGACTAGTCAGGCAGACTAACTTGTCTTGGACTCACCTGGCCAACCAACAGCCTAAAGTGACCTTACTGACTAGTGATGAAATGGGAAGGCGCAGCTTTCGGCCCGCAGAGGTGGTACCTCTGTGCCACCAGCAGTGAGCTGCTGCTGACGTGCCACACTCGCTGCCTGGATCAGGAATTCTCGGAGGCTCATTCACAAACACAGAGCAGGAGAAGGGACCTGGACCGCTGTGCTCACAGCCCTTTGTTCCAAAAACGCCAGGATCCAGCTCTGCTACGTGCTACCCTGAATGCAAACAGATCGATGCCAATGCTGGGGAACCTCAGCACGCACAGAGGCCGCATCCTGCTGCCAGGTCAGCACCGGCACAATTGCTGCTACCAGAGCGGTGGTTTTCCCAGCGGAGGAGCGACCAGCTCGTGGCGTGGCAGTAACCAGGAGCTGCCAAGAGCCCGCTCCTACAGAGTCACTTGGGTTCAGCCTGTGGGAGTGAACAGTTCATCTGTGGTTTAACAGCTTATCCTAGAATCACAGACTGGTTTGGGTCAGAAAGGACCATAAAGATCATCTGGTTCCAACCCCCCTGATGTGGACAGGGCTGCCAACTGCTAGGTCAGGCTGCCCAGGGCCCCATCCAACCTGGCCTTGAGTGCCTCCAGGGATGGGGCATCCACAGCTTCTCTGGGCAACCTGTTCCAGGGCCGCACCACTCTCTGGGTGAAAAATTTCCTCCTAATCCCTCACCTAAATCTCCCCTCTTAGTTTAAAACCATTTCCCCTTGTCCTGTCACTCTCTGCCCATGTCAAAAGTCGTTCTCCCTCCAGTTTACAAGCTCCCTTCAAGCAATGGAAGGCCACAATGAAGTCTCCCTGGAGCTAAGCGTGGCTGTACACACCTGGCTGTGCTCCCCTGGCTAAACAGGTCTGAAACCATTTCAGGTGACCAGTTTGTCTATGAGGCCAGCAGCCCCAGCCAAGCCTGGGACAGAGAGCAGGCTTTCACAGGGTCCTTGGGGAGGGCACTGGACTTGGGGTCCCTCTGCAAGCCCAGCGCACGAGTCCCTCTCCCTTCTCTCCAGTGTGCTCATCAGTCCAGCTACCATCATTAATCAATGGGCTAGATGGAAGGACAGGATGTAAAACTCCTCAGACGATATATTTTAAGGCAGAGAACATCCCCACCCAGCCTTCAGGAAAATGAACTCATCAGACATGCGACAGCTAACAAGCAAGCACGCTGCATCTTCTCCAGCTAGGGTAATTGCTTTGCTATGCAGACAAACAGGCTGACATTCTCCTCGCAGGTTTCTCGTGGATTATAGAGAAACCAAACAACTCACTGAAGTTTTCCCTTCAGTGCAGTCTGAGGGATGGGAACGGGAGATTTCAGCCCTGGCCCCCTGCACTGGGATGGTCCAAGCGAGAAGGAGAAAGCTTGGGAGCGAGAGACAGGCACAGTGCAGGTTTCTAAAGCAGCAGAGGAAACGGGGCAGTTTTTTCATTAAAAAAAATCTCCATGTTCACACAGACATCTTCCTGAAAAACCTAAAGGCAAGAGAAAACCCGTGGCTAAACCACAGGCAACGCCAGAAGCTCAGTCTGGCTTCAGAGACCCTTGGTGGTGACTCAGTTGTCTCCTTACAGCCGGTACGCGGCAGCCGAGTCCCCACGCAAGGCTTTGCCTAACGCCCTGCACCAGGCTGTGCCGAAAGGCAGCGCCAGGGACTCACCAAACCACAGCGAGTGCCCAGAAAGCACCAGCTGCCTGCCCACCCCTGCCAGGCTCCCTGCCCTGTCAGGCAGCGAGCGGGGAGCCGGCGATGACTCCACAGAAAGACACGCACACGTACAGGATCCACTGCCAATTTGTTTGCCAGAGTCCCCTGGGAGGGCTCAGGATGGATGTCTGGTGTCAAACATCAGACTTATTAAACAGGCTGATCAAAGCACTGGAAAATTACACGGACCCACAGTTCTGCAGGCTATTGATCTGGGTCTGACAACAAGCTTTCTGGAGCACCAGCACCTCTCCTTCCCCAGCACCGTGACGGTGCAGAGCCAGCGGTGCTGAGCCTCCCTGCAGCAGCCCAGCAGATGCTGATTCCCCTCTCATTTGGAAAGACATTTTTTCCTCCAGCTGAACAACTCTATGGAGACATTTAAAAAGATGCTTCATGCAGACCCATCAACATCAGCTCCCAGGGCTGAGAGATGCTCTCATTATCTCTGCCCTGATTACTGCCATGCCCGAGTTCACGGCCGAGCAGGCAGGGCAGCATCTGAGGTGCTGTGAGACACGTCCTGCAGTCACAGCAGAAAAGCAACACACTGGAGTCCTGCCCACCCAAGCCACCATTCAGAGCCAGTGGATGGGGACTGAGTTTTTAAACACAGCCCTGCACAAGCCCTCCTGAAGAACAGACATGCTACAAATACCACAGCCCATGCACCCATGGGTTTTCCTACCTGTCCCAGAGGACAATTTGCAGCTGTAAAGTAAGAGCAGAGCAGACCAGACTGCTTCGCGGCTTTGGGACCAAATGCAAGAAGACCCACCCCTTCCCCACACGCACTCAAGTCACCCCACGTCCCTTCTTTCATTTGTCCTGCACTGCAAGTCTGAAATACAAGTGACAGACACAAATATCCCTACGTGCCTGAGGCTGCACCCACTCATGCCCATTTCAGAGTGCCCAGCCATGGAGCAGGCATCTCCCAAAAGCTCAGGCAGGTCTCTGCTGCCAACCGCCCACAGCAGAGCAGCAGGGTCAACCCCAGCCAAGGGGCTCAGGAGGCAGCTGGAAGTGAAACTGCAAGCAGAAAAGACACAGCTTTGTTTTTGGAAGGTAAGGTTATGCTGACGTACAGCTGAACAAGGAAATCACAGCAGCACGTTCAAAACCTGGGGAGAAGCCCCCCCTCTTCACCGAGACTGAGCCAAGGGGGAGGTCTCTGCAGGACCAGACTGCCAGTGTCAGCTCTCTGCTGATGGGGATGGACTCAGCCCCAGCATCTGCTGCCAGCACTGGGCAGGGCACCACCACCCCCTCCTCCAATCTGTATTTTTGGGGATTTCCCTGTTCTCTAGCAGCTGTCTCCAGCTCTTCTCTCTGCAAAGAGACTCTCCCCATCTCTCAGGATGTCACCTACAGCAGTGACACACGGTGCAGGGGCTCTGCACAGCTACACCCAGGCAAGGTGGGAGCTTTGATTCTTGGCAAAAGACTGAAGATATTTCTGAGATCCCGAGAGTGCTCTGGCCTGGCAGAACTCAAACCCAGGTTTTACAGGAAGGCAGTCTCAGCACTGATGTGGACAACAAACCCCTCAGCTCACGCAGGCCCCCAGCCCTGCTCCTGGCTCTCCATCAGCCTCCCAGGGCAGCATGAACGTGGCAGATGCCAACTCGTGTTTGTCTGCTTCAAATCCTTCCCTTGCAGGCAAATCTGGGCAGCCAGGGGCAGCTGCCCTTTCCTGCCAGACCACTGGTTCCACCAGAAGGGGTTTGCGGTACACTGGCTGCGCAGGGGATGAGGAGGGCTGGATGAGAAGGGCTCTGTGAGGAAGGCAGCTCTCTCCCCAGAGAAAAGGGCAGCTCTGCCCAGCCAGAGCCAGGCTTGCAGCACGCTCTGCTTGTCAGGGAA